AATCATATCATAAAGTCTGCGATGAAATTGTCCAGGCTAGCGGCAACTTGGTAACAGGGATCCGCAACACGGAAGAAGTGTGAGTATTACTTGCTTCCAAAGTTTTGCTGTGGATAAATAGCTAATTGTCTCCGTGTATAGTGTCAAGGCTATTCTGGACGCCAACCGCAACTCCCTCATGCTTCTCGACTTGAAATTCAGCATCGGCACACTCGGACTCGCGACTGGAACCCTCTTCTCTGCACTATACGGAATGAATTTGAAGAACTTCATCGAAGAATCGGATCTGGGTTTCGGCGCGGTCTCTGTGACCTGCTTCGCTATCACACTGGTCGTCTGTGTGTATGGGCTGGCCAAGCTGCGTAAGCTCCAGCGTGTTAGGATGTGGGGTGAAGACGGCGCAGGCGGCTCGCCTATGGTGCATCTACCAACGAGAGGTGGGGCAATTGGCCATCGGCCAAACTGGCGAGCTGATTCCATTGATCCGGTTTGGGGTAGTCTGCCTGGGGAAGCCCGCTCGGAGAGACTGAAGCGCATCAGGGACAGTTCCGTTGCAGCAGCTGTCAAGTCCGCCGCCGCGCAGCGCGCATCCTCGGCGCCGACCGCCAATCCCTCTTCGAAGGCAGAAGCTCGCGAGCCCAAGGAGGCATAAGCATTCGATGCGTATGGCTCGCCATTGTTGTCTCTTATGATAGCCGTGATCCGGTGCCAATTCAGCAATGGTGATACCGACGATAGTAGATGTGTGATTTGTCGGTGAAGGCAAGTAACTTCAAATGATATCTCTTCGCTCATTCTGTATAGAAAATGCATGGTCGGAGTTCTTCCAGTGGTGTTTTTCTCATTCGGACTATTCGGGCAATTCTTTTTGATTCTTTTCACTCACTGTATGCGGACTCCCTTCTCAGTCATTTATTTCTTGCCAAGCCGAGCTCAGCATCGACATCTATAGAATCTTAGAAACTTTTTATAGAATAGCCCCGCTCTATTGCATCATCTTTCCTCACAATTGAATCCTCGTATGAGGACGCTCTTCTGTTTCTCGAGCACTCCCTGTCAATGCCCGCCACCACGCTGCTTCCCCATCCCCGGACCCCTGTTGATCCCTCTCGCTCTCTCTATCCAGATTTTCGCCGCGGCTTCCACGCCTCCCTCTCGAGCACATTCCCGCTGCACAGCAGCCATGACCTTTGCCACAACCTCTTCAGCATCAGCATCAGCATCAGCATCAGCATCTCCCACCACTTGCGCCTCGTTCTTCGTCAACTCCCTCCCTCCCCCCTTCCACCTTAGCATCGTCCCCCTCCTGCCCCCAACCACAGCCATATTCCTCGTACTAGGGATCCGCAACAACGTCTTCTCAACCTCATACCCCACCTCCTCGGCCACCGCCATCGTCTTCGCCGTCAGCGACCCATACATACTCTTCAGGAACCCGGCCTCCGACGCCTGCGCATCCTGCCGCTCCTTCCGCAGGGCCTTCAAGTCCCCGGAGTCGGGCTGCTGCTGCTCCTCCTGTTCCTTATTTTTAGCTGCAGTGGATGCACCCCTCGGCGGCGGATACCGGTACTTCGCGCCGGACAAGGCATGCGAGCAGCAGGGGATGGCGACGAACGGGGACGGGTTGCGGGGACACAGCAGCGCGGCCATCAGGGGCGTCCAGACGGTCAGTTCGTCGGCGTGGTTGGAGATGATGAAGGTGTTGGCGGGGAAGTGGCCGGTGTGCGTTGGGACGGTGAGGTTGAAGGGGTTGGGGTTGGAGACAGGGTTGGGGTTGGAACTACTAGACGGTTCGCCGACACCGACACCGACACCGACTGCATCGCTGAAAGGCGCAGGGATGTAGATCTCCTCTTTCAGACGGGATTGGATCCGCTCCGGGAAGATCGCCCACGTCTTGCGGCGGCGGGCGTCGAAGCCCCAGCCTTCGTAGCCTTCCTGTAGCAGGATGTAGACGAGGACGCCGTTGCCGCAGGCTACGTCTACGAAGCCGGGGAATTTTGGAGTGGTGGTGGTGGTGGTGCCGATAGCACCCCCGTGGCTGCGCTCATCACTCGGGACGACGCCGTACATGCTGCGCCAGAGCTCGATGAGGAAGGCGGCGATGGATAGGTCTTCGAAGACGTGCTTCGAGGGCTCCGTGGTTTCCACCCATCTCTGGCACAGGTCGCTGGCGTATTTGGCCTTGAGGCGCGTGTAGGTGTCCTGGACGAGGTGTTGCGGGAGGATGTTGTCTTTAAGGGGGTTTTTGTTGGCGCCTAGTAGGTGTTTTTGGTTGGTGGAGGTGGAGGAGGGCGATGATGATGTGGTGGGTAGGCGGGTGGTCCGGGCAAGACGGATTTGCGTGTTGAGGAGGGCTTGTAGAGTGCGTTCCAGGCGGTTGGTGATGGGGAGGTTGCGGAAGAGGAGCGTGTGTAAGGTTAGGGTTCCTGGGCCTGGGTTTGAGCCTGAGGTTGGGTCTTGGGAGGGATGCTCTGGGGTGATGGTGTTATAGTCGTATAGATAGGCTAGAGAGCGCAGGGTCGGGTGGTAGTAGGGGATGTCCTCCTCCTTGGTGATGTGAGGTGTATAGATCACCAGAGAGCGTCTGCGGCCCCCTTCAGTTCCAGCCGTCGTCTCCGCCTCGTAGAAGTGACAGGTTTGGTCCAGGGTCCGGTCCAGCTTAGGGTTCCGGGGTACTAAGCGTCGGACGATGGTCCTTGTCAGGGTGAAGCCGGGGACATCGCGCGCGGGGGTGGGCTCGACCTCGACCTCGTCCTCTGTGCCATCGAGAATCTCAGTGGATGCGAGGGCCTCCGCATTGGCATTGCCAGTGAGCGCGAAGGACTGCGCCTTCTCCCGCGGAGTGCGCATTATCCCCTCGCTGTCGAAGAGGATATCGGCCCGGAACAGGTGGCTGGAGTTGACGTTGGGGTTGGCCAGCAGGTACAGGGTCAGATCCTGCATCACCTCGGGCACAAACAACAGACCATGTTCGGTGAGATCCCGAGAAGTCGTCCAGTCTTCTGTCTCGCTGTGCAGGATGGGTGATGGCTCTAGGGTCTCTGCTAGCGGCTTCCCCGAGAGCTGAGCTGGGTCTCGGGGTGGCTTGCGCGAGGTTCGAGTCATTGTTGCTCCTCGCCTGCTGCCGTATACACAAGGCTGGTCGCGAGAGACAAGCTTGTTCTTGTGATGCTTTGGGTTAATCAAGATCTCTCTACCGCTTGTGTATTCTTCTGCTATCAGATGGATGGGTTTCCATCAAATGTGGAGAATTCTGCGTTGAATACTGATTAGTCATCTGTGTATTCGCACAGAGGCCTGGGGAACTTGAATTCTACATAGTACATACTTGTAAAGAATGGCTGGGACCTGAGACTAAGTCAAGATATGCCTGTATCGCGATCACAATTTCTTGTCGGCTCAAGCCCCTCCGTCGGGTTCTATCAGATATTGCCCCTCGTAGACACTGCATAAAGAAATGTGACTCGCTTAGTAAGATGCTGCATAACTACTAGCTCAGTAGTTAATCGATCCAGCCTCACTTGATCATCCTCATACAGCACTTTCTCCCATCTGCGCACGTTACAGAATTGGGACACAACAGTCAAGTCGAATTGAGGAGCTGCTTTCGAAGCTGACTTGGTGGCTTCGCATGTATGCATGCATGATGTCGGTACGTGCTATACAAACTCAACTGGACTGGCCGAGTGGAATGTCATGCAGTGCAAATCAGCCCGAGTTAATCCTTAACCGCCAGGAATACGAGGCATCCATCGTTCGGCATTCCTTGTTGCATCTCTCCCGCTGAGTCAGCCGAGCATCTGCTGGTTGCATCCATGATCCGAGGGGCTCCACCCACAATCCTGGATCGAGCATGTCAACTCCTTCTAGACCTCTTCACTTTGATTGTTTCTCATTTGCTCTCATGGATAACCCCCGCCCCCCCCCATCAACGCATTCGGCAAGATCATCGCCCACATCTTGTTTGTTTAAATTTGACCCCTGAACACGGCATAGTTAACTATCTTCACCTCAGATGACTAATCTGCAGTTTGCTTTCTGCTTTAGCATGTGCCACGCGATGCGATGATGTTTTTTTTACTGTTGTGTCATGATCGTCAGTGTCCCGACGAGAACAAACAACTTTCATCAGCCAAGAGACTCGAAAAAACGAACCAACTGATGAAGAATTGAGCTCTGTCACAGAGCAATGTGGTCAAAGCCCTCCCAAGCAAAGACTCCTCCCGCGACCCCGGCAGAGAGAGAGCTTCGCAGTCGATCTTCGTGTGCGTACTCGTGTCTTGCGGGGTTTGCGACACAATCATGACGTCTGCACGTTCGAGCTAGTCTAAACTCGAAAACTGACGCGGTAGTTAGAATGCTAGTAATTTACTAGCAGACTGCGTATCACGCCACAATTGTCAATCCTATCTACTCAGTGGTTGGCCTGCATCCGCTTCTATCTGCCTCTTCCCTTATCTTCTCCCATCGTTGTGCCTTCAGATGCGGCGCGGGCAATAGCCGCTACATATACATTGATTCCGGGCGAGTGAGTTCATTAATGCCGTGGAAGATCCGCGAGCCGTACTCGCAGCCATCAAAATTCTCTACTTCAAGGCCCTTCTTCAAAGTACTCGGTACCCTTGTCCAACCATGGCACTAGAGGTAACATGACAGGTCAAACGCGGGACTTCGCGGGTCCGATGTTATGTCTGTACCAGCGCATCACCCGACTGCTTTTTTAGTTCTTATCCCAATTTCACGGGGAAAGCGTATGTCAACGATGTATCGTGTGAAACCCTACAGCTACACCAGAGCAACAGTAGCAGCTGACGTCCAGCATACAAAACCACCAGTGGAGAGCAAGCTCAGCACAAGAGACAGCCATCCCGGACTAATTTTGTATATCTCCCCCGAAGGCCGAATAAGCATGAGTGATAGATACTAGGCAACGCTTTGCGGTTGCGGCTACAAATCGGATCGGCGCAGCCATTCAAACTTCAAAGCTCTGGCGCGGGTTCCGCATTGGCGATGGGCCCCAATCTTCTGCATGGATGTGTTCGTCGTCTTCTGTAACGAGCTGAGCTCTTAGTATGCAGGTGCTATGGTCGGGTTGGGGTTGAGCCCAGACCACAACCTCTCCTGGTTGGGCCGTTCTTTGCACATTGGACCGGCCTTGGCTCTTTTTCTCTCTCTATCGCGGGGCGGGCTCGGATATGCCGTGGTTCGACTGTTTTCAGTTGGGTTTTGAATGTGATGGCCATGGGCATGGGCCCTGGTTTCCCATGTGTTGTACGTGGTCCAGCCTGGATGAGACGGGGTCCGTCGCGAAATGTCATACATACTGGGAAGTAATCAGCTTCACAGAAAGTGGATTGTTGACTGATTTATTGGTTATTTCAGTTATACAGTAGGATGCTCTTGCTAACGCACGGTCTACCGAACCATACGCAACAGGCTTCCAGGCGTCCAGACACTATCGGGATAGTCACTGCATACAGCGCATGCGCTAGCATAGTCTGCATGTAGGCAGCACTTCTCGGATTTGAGCAGCTATTGCGGTTCAAATCTCGCTCTAGTAAATCGGGTTCAAGCACAGGTCGTTCAATTGAGTTTGTTGTACCCGATGTTGATGGCTATGTGTGGTATTTTCAGTCGAACATTACCTTGGGTTCGATCGAGCTGGGTCCCGGGGATTGCAACCAAGATGCGCAATGGAATACATCACCTTCTAGAATAATTCGCCACGCCCGTGGTTCGAGACCGGAAGGGGAAAGTCAACAACACCCATGATGATGTGTTGGCACTTGCGGCCCACCGGCAATGATCACGATCTCAGGGACCGGAGATTAAGAATGCAAAAGAGAATCTTGGGATGATTTTGTACGGCCGAATGCAATTCAAGGAGAGTCTGCCAATGAGAGACGAAAGGTTCCTCTTCCTGCAACCGTCTAACCATTCTGGCATTCAACTTACAGTGCAAGTAACGGAGAGTGAGGCACCCGTCGGCAGGAATCCTTCGTATGCTGACAGATGCACAGTTTGGTAGGTTACTTAAGCATAGCGATGGCCGGGAGAGGAATCTTGGCATCTCATCCGACCACCATCTCTTGTGTCCCTTTTTCCTAACTCCGTAGATTTTGGCCAAAGCAAGTGCTTGAAAAAGAAGAAACTGAAGGGGGGAGGGGGGGGAAGAGATTTCCTTGTTCCAGTAAGATTTGATAAGTACCAGACCCACTACAATCGAGGCAGTACCATAGATAGAAACACGCCGCTAACTTGTGGTAATCGAACAATGTGATTTGTTCTAATTCTCGACGAGCCCCGGCTAGCAGGAGCTAGATTCACGCTAAGAAAGATGCCTTGGTTTCCGTCGACGCTGCGGGTTCCACTTCAAGTAAGTTAGTTGACTACAAGTACGGAATACTAGACTCCCGTTCCCCTCTTTGCCTTCAAGGCTCGGAGACTCATGCACTCTGGCGCATTTCACACATGCCAGGTCTGATGCAGCGCATTGCTATCGATCATTTATCTCTCTTCCGTAAGTAATGGCATGGCGGGGTTGACAACGATGCGAAAAGGATGGATGGATAGTACCCCGTAATTGCCATATTATATTCAGTACTTAGTGCGCCATGGTCATTCAAATGATTGACGGAACATAAGGCGTGTCTAATGATGTACAGCATGTAATAACTAACTAATCAGACCTAGGTAACTTACTGCATTCCTTTCTTTTTGCGCCCTCAATCACCCCTCCTCAATGTTTTGAATCCGATGTTGAACAAGAACAAGCCACCATCACGTTCATTATGTTATGCGTATCTGGGTTGTTTTATGAATGCAACCGGCGGACGGAGTGAACCGGCAAGTCAATACACTTTAGAAAAGTCAATCTGAGACCATAACTCTATCAATCCATACTTTCTCCTTCACGGTTTCATGTCAATGATCAAAAGCCAGTGGCGAAGTTCCCCATTGTACTGTGTTAATCAGGTGCAACACGCAGCATTGCTGGTCGCGGAGACAGCCGTTCGATGGTATTCCCCCAAATTGTTCTGCAAACAGAAAAGGTCCTACGGATCCGGGCTCGGTATGGGACTTTTTGTCGATCCCTACTGCGGGTAGATTCTTGTGGCATGCCGGCTTCGACAAACACCGCCGCCCCCTTCCCGGTTGTTCCAGCGGCGAAATTCCCCTGAGAGAGTATGAGGTAAATATCCATTCAGAAAAAAAAAAACAAATACTTGCTAGTATCGCCGGAGTGATGGGGATGGATTATATGGTATTGCCGAAGAAATGAATTCTTTGTGAGATGAGCTGCAAGCCGAGAGATCTTGAGGGTCGGAATTGGTCTTTCGCACTCTCTCTTTCTGTCCATATACACTGGGAATGAGTGTCGAAGCTTCTCGTCGAGAGATTTAAGCATGGAGGGTCGGTCCATCTCGTACCACTTCTCAGTTGAGCTTAGATAATCGGCAGCACCCAGGGTCTAGTCTAGAAGCACCGTCACCTATTTTAGGATGGTCGACGATCTCCAATGAAGGTGGTTGCTTGCTTTGAGCATTGACTGGTCTTGGGTAGCTACACCTGATTGCCTAGATCTTCAGCTTCCCTCAGCTACGGACATACAGTAGGTAGTAGTCACAGTTTATTTTAGGGGTCTTTTGGGAAGTATAGTTGGGTGCTTTTATGCAATGCATGCATGCATCGTGATGGTTGAACCCCCCCCCACCATCCCAATCATCCATCCATCCAACCATCCACCCTTCATACAGGCTGCGAAGTCAACGGAGGAAGGAAGATCGAGGATCCAGCTGGATATATATTGATCCTCAATCCTCCCTGTTTTACCTTGGTTTCTAGCTTGTTACCAGAACCGGGTTAGTGGCGCAAAGAGCCTGAAAATAAAACTCGGAACCGCCCACTTCCTGCGACCGCAATGGAGGCACACCCGCTTTTCCCATTCGTAGTTTTCGTAGTTCTGGTGCAATGGCGCACTTTGGCTGTTCCAAGTCTATCGTTGGAGGGACCCGCAGCCGATGCCAGCCTAGCCAGTACCTACCCTCACTCTACCGAAGAGCCTTAGTAGTCTAGTCATCATAAACTGGCCAATCTCCCTGTCGCCGATTGCAGCGGGCGAATCCCGGGCCTGACCTCGACCACCACCGGCGATGTGGGTTTCAGGCAGGGTGGATTATGAATGACGGGAGGATGTGCTGTGCTGCTGGCTGCTGCACTGGTTTCGATGACCGCTTGGTCGCATCATGGTTGGCCCCAAACCCACCATTGAGGTCCCAAGGTGGATGTGGATTGTCGTGTCTCATCAAAATAAGATTGTTAAATCACTTAAAAAGAATTATGTACGATCTTATTTCCTCAAACAACCAAACAATGGCATAATCAGGATATTTCGACGGGCAGTGCGTTTGAATCGAACCCCGTTGTTTCCGCCTCCTCTTTCCCCCCCCCTTTGCCCTCGTTCCTCAACAGCCCCCGCTCTTCCGTCGTCATCGTCATCGTCGTCGCTCGTCCTCGTCGTCGCTGTCGTCGGCGGCGCGCGGTCATACGTGGATCTGTCCGCAACTTAGTAGCGGTGGACACTAATTGCTGTGGGTGAAGGATAATTCCATGGATGGAACGCCTGGTGGGGGAATTGACTCGTCCCTGGTTCACATTCAGGGGTAGAAAAGAATGATATCGAGATGGAGAGAAATGGATTGATGACTGCGCTTATCAGAGATATCATGGGGGCTGGTCTGCTTTCGTCGCCGGGGGGGGTAGGAGGAGGAAACAATGTCGCCTGACTACTACTAACTACTCTTAGCACCTCAGTCTATCGAGTGGTTTTATTGCATATCCCAAGTACCAGACTTAGCCAAAATACAAACGAACAATGAACATGTCCAACTATTTAGCAGTAGGATAACAGGCCGGAGAGCGCAAGAGGGACTGAAGAAGCGAACCGAACATACAAAAACCGGTTTGTTGATTGGGAACGATAGGACGGAAGTAAGCCTGTAGCGTGGACAATATTCTGAACGGGTTAGTTCGTACAAGTCTGGATGAAGAATAACTACTACTCATCATTTATCAGCATCTCCTGTGTGAATGTTCCCAGTGGCCTTAATATGATGGGTTTCTGTTGGACTGCCATACAAGTGAGTATCCAGTCAAAGGTTATCAATAAATGGGTACTCAGTCCCTTTAACCCCCCGAGCAATTTGAACAATCGTCTTTCATTGAATGTTGTGGTGATTGACATACGGCAGATCATGGCTTGTTTACTCCATGCCTGCAGGTAACTATCATAGCAGGCGTAGCATATGAGCATAGTTAGTGTCAGTAACTCAGCAACAAAGGCAGTGCTCCGGAGTTCACTAAGTAGTATTCTTAGCATGCGGCCAATTTCAGGCCATCAGTGTTATTGTCTGCCTCTTTCTCTCTCTCTCTCTCTCTCTCTCTGGGGGGTCCTCATCACGCCTTGTCATCCTTTTCCATCCCCGGAGGCAGACATTCTTTCTTACTCAGTCACACACACCTGGTAAGTTAACTACTTACACACACCCTTCTCTCGCCATTTGATTGTCGCTTGCAGCTCTTTTGTTTCCGTCTTTCTCCTTTCCCCTCCTTACTCTCTCCGTCGACAGTCAATCTTTTCTTTCTTTCCTGCCTCCGTTTCCGGATCGAGCCCTGGCGGGGGATCCACGACGACCGTTAGAGGTTTATGGGTGAACAAGCAAACCAGGTAAGAGAAGAAAAAAAAAGTAAACCAAAAAAAGTTAAAAAAAATTATTATTATTACTATTATTATTATTATTATTATTACAGTGGAGGGAAAAAGATACGTACGGCTCCATCAGCTCTCCCATTTGGGCTGTCCATCCGCCCAAAGCTGACTGAACTGAACTGAATCGAACTCCCGGTTCATCTTTGCTGGTGTTGGTTGCTGATGCTGATTGCTGGTGCTTTGCTGGTGCTGGTGCTGCTACTGCTGCTACTGCTGCTACTGCGAACACAGCCAAACCATCCAATCCACACCTTATCCCCATCCCCAATAATTCCTATTCCCATTCCGAATCTCTTCTTTTCTCCTTCAACCTCTCTGATTGCTGCTATCTTCTTCCCCTTTCACTAACTATCCTTCCTTCTTTCTCCTCACCCACCCTCCCTCTCTCTCTCCTCCCTCACCCCTCTCTTTCTCTCGCTCTCTCTCTCTCTCTCTCTCTTTTCCTCTCGTTCCGCCAAATTTGTTTTTTTAACTCTCCCTCACGCTCCCTCCCTCCCTCTCCCTCGATACGATCATCACCACCTCCTTTCGTTTGTCTTGGTTGGAATCCTTTACTTTTTCTGTGTTAATTTTCGCGAGATTTTCCTTCTGTGATTCCCCTTACTTTCACTATCTTACACTTGGCGCCTATCGCGTGTGTCCAGCATTCGAATCGAATCGATAATCCTAGTTTCGGCGATCGCGCTGCGTTCCTTCGTTCGGTGGCAGCCTACGTCAATCGCGCATCCCAGCTGTGATCTTTGGCGACTTTGGTCCGACTCGCAGTTAGGCGATAACTCACGGTTCCCTTTTTTTTCCACCATCTCGGCTGGTGGGAACGCTTCTTTCCAATTTTGATCGGTCACCATGGCTCCTCCACCGCGCCTGCGCGTTTTGTCAGGTTAGTCTCTCAGTCTTCGCCGGTATCAGATTCAGCCAGGACGGACGGGATCCCTCCGTCTTGTGCTCTGGATCAGCCTCACGCTGCCACCCCCTTCAATGATTTCTCTTCTCCAACTGCTTCGATCGCCAATCTCAATATGGGTCGTCGTCTAACACGAGTCTGTGTAGTCGGCAGCAACGCTATCTCAGCTTTTCTTTCCTGGAGGCTCCAGGCGTCCACCTCCTGCGACGTAACGCTAGTCTGGAAATCGGGGTTTGAGGCGGTTTCGCAATACGGAGTGTCTTTCAAGTTTGTCTCTCTGGCTATACTACACAACGCAGAAGGCCTCTAACAATTGACCAATAGGTCGAAAGCATTCGGCAATGAGAGATTCAAACCTCGTCACGGTATGTTATCTTTTCTTTTTCGTGTCTGATTACCGCAAGCGGTTGTGCTGGTCAGCTGACATCGGCCATTCTACAGTGGTACGTTCACCGGAAGAGGCGGCATCACGAGAGAATGCATATGACTATGTTATTCTTTGCGTGAAGGCCTTGCCCGATGTCTACGACCTGGCAGCAGTCATTGAATCCGTGGTTACCCCTCAACATACCTGCATTCTGCTCAATACCACCAACACCCTTGGCGTCGAATCACACCTTGAACAACGATTCCCCACGAATGTGGTCCTCTCGCTCGTTTCTGGTGTGGAGATCTCGCAGATTGGGCCCAGCGAGTTTGAGCATTTGAACTCGTCGAATATCTGGGTCGGGGCTACCAACAACAATTCGACCCTTCCATCGGCTATGCAATCCGACATGGCGGCCGCCTTGGCGATGACCTTGAGCTCCGGTCAAGTGGACTGCAAAGTGTCGAACAACATCAGACAAGAGCAATTCGAGCGTATCATAGGGTGAATATTCCGAGTTATCCTTCCTTCGAGTCTATGACACTAATCAGCCACCATCCAGGCCTATTGCGTTTTACCCAACAAGCGTCATGTTTGACAACGGAAACGTAACAGAACTCCTGCAGAAGGTCGGAGTACGGCAATTGGTTACCGATGTGATTGACGAGCTCATTGGTTTGGCCAAAGCGCATGACTGCTCTTTTCCAAGCGACTTTCCTCAGAAGACAATGGATGCGTTGGCCGCGTCTCAGTCTCCCAACACTATGTATCAGGATTTCCAGGCTCGTCGTCCTATGGAGATCGAGACGTACCTCGGATCCCCAATCAAGCTGGCAACAGAACTCAATATCCGCCTGCCCCGTATCGAAACCATCTACGCTATTTTGCACCACGTTAATACCACTAATCTAAGCAAACCTCGCGAATCGCCTACCCCGTCTGTCCAAGCTCCGCCACCCCAACCCACCCGGATGTCCTCAGCTCCCCCACCGAGGAATGGTCCTCCCATGCGCCCGCCTCCTGGAAGGTCAAGCTCTGCAATGATGATGCCCCCTCCTAGACGTGGACCACCCATGCCCGGAATGTCACGACCCCCAAGCACACAACCTCCGCCTCCTTCTGCCAGAATGCCTCCTCGTGAGCCGTCTTTGGAGGGACTGGAGGAATTCAGCCACCTAGTTGTCTATGATGACGCTGGTGAAGCTGGGCCTCCTCCCCGGAACCCTAACGGTTATCCCGACGTCCCTCCTGGTCCTGCCCACTCGCAGTCGACTGCTGACCTGTCCTTGAGAGAACGAGAGTTGGCTTTGCGGCAGCGCGAGTTGCAGCTTCGGGAACAAGAAATGAGCATGAGGCGGGGACCGCCCCGCAGGAATGCCCCCTCTAGGGCCACTTTCGATGAGGAAGACGAGGATGATTATTTCGATCCCATGGATACCAGTCTGGTCCCAAACATCGACCCGGACAATGTGGATATGCTGAGCATCACGTCGCGAAGAGCCAAGAAATTTCCGAGTGCCAGCCAAATACGCAAGAACCCTGAGCTTCTGTCCAATGGCGGCGGCGGCGGCGGTCGGTCGGGTACATTCAGCCGCTACTTTGGGGGAGGAAGAAAACGTGCCAGTGACCGCATCATGCAGGAAATTCCGGGACTCCATGATTCCCTCTTGGATAACCCCATGATGGCTTACTCGTCAAACCGATACGGCGCTGTTGATAGAAACCAGATGGCTGCAGGTTCACGTACCAACTCCATGACCACGAGTCGCATGGGCGACTATCCCCCGCACCCCTACCCACACAGTAGGAGAAACAGCCATTCGCCGGCGACTCCTTACGGTGGCCCGCCTGGTCCTCGCATGGGCCGTCCGGCCACTGCTCAGGATCAACACTTTGGCCCTCCTCATGGGCCCCCGAACGGCGGTCATCCGTCTCCTCCGGGACACATGCGGGCACCTGTTCCCAGGTATCCCCCAGGCCATGGTAATGCGGTAGGCCCGCAACAAGTTGAGCAACAAATTGGGGTGAGCAATTCGTATCCCACCAAGGGCACCCCAAAGGATAGAAGTCTGACTGGAAGTGCGAGCGCCAGCGCGGGGAGTGGTGATAGCGGCGCCAGTGCGAACCTCGATTCCGAGAATTCAGCCCACAGCAGCCAGATCAGCCTCGGCGCGCAGCAAGCTGCGGCGCCTGTCCGTTGAAAGCCAAGAAACCGTTTCCCCTACAGCCCTCCCCTTGCCGGCAGCTGAGCACGTTGAACCCTGTTGACTGTGCGCATGCTTGCCGTGTCCACTATACTTCCTCTTTCTCCGCCTGTACTGGATTGCCGTGAAGGGGAATTCATCCAGGTTGCTTTTTGCCTCTTATAAAGGATATACTTTTAATGAGAAGCTCGGCACCAAAAATAAAGAGGATTGAACCGCATCCTGTGTCATCCTCCGGTTTTGTTCAATTGTTCACATATATGCAACGGACTTAAGGATCTTCCTGAATTTCTCATTTGGTTGAGCGGGCGTTGTTGCGCACGTGTTGCTTGTGGGGGTGACCATCTCTTTCACCCACATCTCTTGCCTCAATCACCTCCGCAGCAATTCCTGATTCCCATGCTGACGGGCCTCCGCTCGAGCGATAAATACGTTTTTCTTTTTTTTACTTTTCGCAGCTATACCACGGACGTTCATTCTCCAGTACTGATCATACATTCTGCTTCTGCATGACAAATTGTTGTACACTATGCGAGTCGGCGCATGATTTTGTCGAGTTCATACATGTGGTTCCGTCGTCTTCTTGATTTTATTATCTCTGCCTGATTCTTTTCCTTATCTCATCCAAGTCAGTCTGACATGCATGCCCTCCTTTGCATTTCCTAAACATTGTCTTTTTTAATGTTCCTATGCAGCCCTGCCGTTTTATTTCATCGTGGTCTGGTTTCTGGCGCATAAAAAGAGCAGGGGGTCCATCATTTATTCGGGTGATTGCTGTGTTTGATTTGGCTGGGTTCATGTTCATGCAGAGTAATAGTGAAAGCGACCAGGCCGTCAGATGGCACGGCAACTGTTCATTTGATTAGAAAGAACCATGTCCTCAACAATGAACCAACTTCGATCGGAACAATTTATTGCAATGCTAGTCGGTGTAAGGTGTAAAGCTTTTGGGGGGATCTCCGCAGCGACGCTTGCACGTGATCCGAACCGTAGATGTCAACAAACAGCGAGCCCTCAACCTCAACCACAACTACAACCACGGACCCCGATCTCCTCGCCAGCTACCGCCTTTGCCAACACACGAGTTTCAATTTATATCGAGCGAAAAACGTAGACAGCCATGCCTCCTTCCCACCAATACACCCACAGCCAAAGCCACTCCCATCACATGCCCCGCCATTCCATCCTTCCCTCCTCGGCGGCTCCTTCCATGGGCTACGGCGGTGGCGGCAGCGGCAGCAGCAGCAGCAGCACTACCAGCATGTCCATGGCCAAAACCCGGCAGTACGCCAACCTGCACGCGCAGCTGGCGCAGCTGAACAGCCACCTCCGCGACACGGAGAACCTGGTGCGCATGACGGCCGTCCAGGCGGAGGACATGCGCTTCCTGGGGGGATATGTCGGGGCCCTGTTTATGGGGTCGGCGAAGGTGTTGGGTGAGGAGGGGATTATCAAGACTGAAGGTGGTGGTTCTGGCTCTGGCTCTGGCTCTGCTGATGCTGCTGGGGCTGGTTCTGCTGGGGCTGGGGGCGAGAGTGACAGTGAATGAGGAGTTTAGGCTTTTGGTAGAGAAAGAGAGAGGGAGGGAGGGGGTAATGCTTTGGGTTATTCTTCGGGGACAATCAATGTGGGTTTTTTTTCTCTCTTGGGATCTATGGCTCAATCTATTTGTTGGATATGTTGCTAACGGCTATTTATGTTGGAGGTTGATCCTATTGCTCTCTTTGATCGTCAATGGGGACGCTTCATTCCCCGTTGTCACCATCACCATCACCACCCATCGCCACTGCCAGTACAACGCTATCTGGCGGTCTACCAACTTTCCATCATACGCTACTTCCTACCGTGTCTGGTTCGAGGAAAGCAGGATTCGAAAATAAGGATGGGGATCAGGAGTCGACCACGAACCCTCCACCCAGGATGATTGCGGGCTCGTCGATGCTGTGGTGCTCGTAACTGTTGTTTTTTTTTTCGGGGGAGGTTAGTTCGACTGCACTTGACACAGAGCAAGAGGGACGAGAAGCAGGGGAAAAGCTGGGGCAAGAAGACCTACCTCAACGTGCCCACACCACCAGCCTCCAAAATCAACGCCGTCTCCGTCAACGGCTTGCCCGTCCACCGCATCGCAAACGCCCGCAGGATATGTCCATGCGCCACGATCAGGACATCCCCCTTGGCGGACTCGGACTCGAAACACGGGCCGTGGTATTTGGCGCGGATCTCGGCGATGAGGGCGTCGAGCCGTTTGATCACGTCTTCGGGAGATCTGGGTTCATCGCGCTCTTGTTAGCAGACACATACACACACACATACACACTGGATAATCCTTCAGCAACTCAGCATGGCCACCAATAGGAATCCCCAATCCAATCTTTCTTTCTTTCTTTCTTTCTTTCTTTCTTTCTTTTTTGTTTTCCACTAAGGCACAAGCGGGGACAGAACATACTCTCCCCCGGGACACCCATCGCGCCAAATATCCCAGCTCCCTTCCCCGTTCCGCGCCCGCAATTCCCGGATCTGCTGGCTCGTCAACCCCTCGTAGTCGCCGTAGTCCCACTCGCGCACCGCCTCCGTCACCTCCACCCGCGCCTCCGTGCGGATCGGCTCCTCCGCCTCGGGCTTGCGCGCCGCCGTCCACGGCAGCCGCTCCTTGCACCCGATCTCGAGCAGTTCGAGCGTCCGTTGCGCGCGGGCTCGCGGCGAGACGTATCTATTCTCCCCACCTCGCCCACGGGGGTTCCGTGTTAGTCTTGTCTTTCATGACTTTGTGTGTGTGGGTGCGGGTATACTCGCTGCGCAACGCACAGTATCGTGGAGGTTTGGAATCCGGATGTCCCGGAAACAAACAGCGACAACAACACAACACTTCTGCGTGCACGGTTGGAGAAACTGGGAAGGGGGAAAACATACACATGGACGACCTTCCGCGGCGCGATCAATCGGTCATTCCCCACCAGGGCCTTGCCGGTGGCTTTGATGCGTTTCTCCCCGTTCGCGGTGAGGGGCAGGTCGGTGGTGCCCGTGTGGCGGCCGTTGAGGGACCATTCGGTCTCGCCGTGGCGGATGATGAAGCACCGGGGGCTCATGGTTTCGAACTGAGGGGAGAGGGGATTTGAGTGAAAGGGGGGGAGGGGGAGAGAAAGAGAGAGAGAGAGAGTGTGTGTGTATGGAAAAAAGGCAAGTCAGATGAGGAAAGGCACGGAATATAATCAATCACTTCAAACTCACTCTCGTGTTCTCTGTAATTCAAGTGGGGGGAGTACCAGGAGCAGGAGGGGCCGTTTCCTCGTGTTGCGTCATTATTTCCATGAATCACAGGGGCAGGCGGGCGGGCTTATCGATAACTCACTCGCCCAAGGTCAATTACCTTAAGGAGCACTGGCGGAGATTCTTCTTGCTTATCAGAAAGAGGCTTCCGAGTTGTTGCGTCGATGTTACGTTATTGAACGACTCATAAGACGCGCCGATCTACTGATCTACGTGCTGGAACTTCCCACTCAAACATACATTGATAATACAGCTGTCATGCTAAAAGGCACTGGTATCCGGTAGTTGCTTGCTTATGACTCAGTATGCTTTTCTGCCTAGATGTCTCTGGTGTTTCCCGGCATAATCCAACCAGTGCCTCGCCGGAGAGCGAGGAAAATGTAACCGAACCATCACGCCAAAAGGAAATAATAAAAACTAACGACGAGATATAAAGGAAATAGCTTGATCGTATTCAACGGCCCGTGGCTTCAACCACCACTGGTCTAAGCCATGTAGGTGCTGGAGTCAACACCGCCCTCGGGGTATTCGCTAAAAGTCCTTGTTAGTCTATATTGCAAGGATAGATGGATTAAGAACTTACGGAAGGGCAACTTCGAAGCGCTTCTCAATGTCCTTGAGAACCTTCTCGTCGTCCTCGGTGCTGACAAAGGAGATGGACAGACCCTTCGTACCGAAACGACCAGCACGACCGACACGGTGGAGATAGGAGTCGGCATCACCGGGCAAATCGTAGTTGATAGCGAGGTTGATACGCTCAATATCGATACCACGACCGAAAACGTCAGTCGCGACACAGATACGCTTGTTGAACTCCTTGAACTCTTTGTAGCGTTTGATACTACAGAATGTTAGTAACCTTCCCCCTGATCTCCTGCTGAGGCGGACTTACCGCTCCTCCTGGCTCACTCCGGAGTGAACTGCGATACTGGGGAAGTTGCACTCGCGCAACAGCTTGTCGAGCTCTTGAGCACGGAGCGTGCTCTTGACGAAGATAATAACCTGGTTGAACTCCAAGCTATCCAAAAGGTCGTTCAGCTTACGGTTCTTCTCCGCCTCGCTGAGCTTGATGTAGTATTGCTGAAGACCGTGAAGAGTGAGCTTGGTGTCATCGTCGACGTAGACCTCGAGAGGGTTGCGCATGAACTTCTTGCAGACGGGCCGGATCTCCTGAGAGAGGGTGGCACTGAACATCATAACCTGCTTATCGGCGGGGGTAGCACGGAAGATCTCCTGGACATCACGGCGCATGTCTATGACGTATGATTAGCATGCATACGGATCACAGGATGAAACAGAACTCACCAATCTGGTCAAGCATCTTGTCACACTCGTCAAGAACGAAAGCCTTGACATTGCGCAGAGACAGCTTCTTATCGCGGACCAAAGCGTTCAGACGACCGGGAGTACCGACGACAATGTTGGGGTAAGACTCCTTGTTCGCCAGAACCTCGAGATCCTTCTGGATGGGAGTACCACCGTAGAAGACGGCGGTGCGGACGTCGGGAAGGTACTTGCTGAAACGAGCATACTCGTTCTTGATCTGGTAGGCCAACTCACGGGTGTGGCACATAACGAGGATCGAGCACTCTCCCGGAACAGGCTCCAGCTGGTGCAATGTGGTGAGGACGAAGACTGCGGTCTTACCGAGACCAGACTTGGCCTGGCACAGAACATCGACGTTCAAGATGGCGGTGGGAATGCAAACTTGCTGGACTGTGATAGGCGAGACCGTATGTTAGACTTGTACTCGATGTATGAGACTTGAAATGAAAGTAAAGCAATCCGTGTCGCAAGTCCGTCCATCCCCGAGGTATCGAGATAAATGATGACACGTTAATCTGACAACCCCAGCACAAAACACGACAAAGAAGAGTCTCGAGGGAGCAATGGATCGATGATTTTAATCACCAGCGATACAGACTCCAATTCCAAGAGCTCTCTGCAGGCGGCAAGAGGACGAGTATCATGTGAAAACAGTGAAGAAGCGATGCGGCTCCTTTCAACACATCCACTCGAATAGTAATATCAAGTGGTCACAGGCGAGATAAGGACCCGAGAATCTTGCTGAACACGGCCTTGCCGTAATTTGCCAAGCAAAGGAGAGCAACAAGCGGAAGCTTAGATTGCTCTCTACTCTTGCAAGCAGGGTTGGGCTCGTCTTTTTGATGACCCGAAACACGCATCATCCTCATGCCGCCCACAAGCTCGAACGAAATATGTATGCCCGGAAGCGACTATGGAACTCTTTTCCTTCCCGCGGAGATGGACGGACGGACGGACGTTGAAACTTGGAGCAATGGAGGGAGGTTTTGGTTTTTTGGGAAAGAATACGTATGATGGACTAACCCTCCGATGGATGTTCGAAACCGCAGTCGGTGATGGCACGCAAAAGCTCTTCCTTCAGCAGGAAGTCACGGAAACCGGTCGAGTGGATACCGACATAGCTGCCCTTCTTGTCGGAGCGGCCGCCAGAAACAGTCAGATCGCCCTTCTTGGCCTCTCCATTGGCGGCAGGAGCAGCGGTGGTCGCGGCCGCGTCGGTGGTGGGAAGCTCCTCGTCGGAGTAGTCAATGAGATCCTCCTCGTGAGACATGTTGATGGTTTGTGGTGAGATAAAAGGTGGTCTAGATGGGGAAAACTCTGTCTGTTGGAGCGCGTTGCTTTTACCAAGGCAGAGAAGCCTAAGTCCGATGTGGTCGAAAAAGCGGGGTTGAACCGGTGGAAATAGGTAGATCTATGTTCTGAGTAGTACGTGAGATGCCCTCGCTGATGCTGTGAGATAGATTGAGGGTGATGGCAGGTTGATTGGCGCGAAGGAAGGCGATGGAGATGGAGGGAAGGACATTCGCCGCGCGAAGGGATGGAGCGGCTGAGCCTAGACAGCTCGATCACGTGAAGAAGTCAATTAGTCATGGTTGGTCCGGGGCCCGGCGACCGCTTTCGGTTAGCTTATCATGGATCCATAGTGAAGGAAAGCTTCCTCATCCACTATTATTCTCTCCACATCCTCCAGTACGACTGTTGTCAACACAATCATTGAACACGTCTGGTTCCCGGCCAATCATCGCAATGGTAAAAGGGAAGTCCAAAGGCAAAAAAGATTCTGCAGGAGGTGTCAACAGCCATATACGCGCGCGCATTGACTATCTATACAAAGCGGCTACTTTCCTGCAAGCCCAGTCCAGCGCTCGTCATGTCGGCGACGCCACAGATGAGACAGAAGACCAGAAGCCAAGTGTCTCGACACGTATAGTGCCACTCATTTCTCCCTCTGGAGATTCTGCGAGCGAGACCACGGCCCTGGATGGGCAGAACGCGGCGACAGGCCAGTTACCTCAGCTTTCTCGGAACTACCTGTCGCAAATGCGCGGCGTATCTCTGAAAACGCAACTTCGCCTACCGGTTGACATGAAGAGATCTTTCTGCAAGCGATGTGATACGCTTCTACTTCCTGGAGTAACTTGTACGCGCGAAAAGAGGAATCCCAGCCGCGGCCGCAGAAAGCCATGGGCTGAACTCTTGGTCATTCGTTGCTCTACTTGCGGGACAGAGAAGCGTTTCCCTCAAACAGAGAAGCGCAGCAAGAAGCTGACTGATCGTCGGCAAGAACAAGGGCAAGAGAAGCAAGACAATGAGAACAGTGTAGGCTCTTAAAGATACTACCCACGCTACAAGGATGTTCATCGAAGCCGTTGTTTCGTATTGCTTCCAATCAGCATATGATCGTTGAAAGATCTTGCAGGATAGCCCTTAAGAGCTATGGCAGAACGTCGCCGGTTTTTAGCCAGGCTCAATCCTCGGGATCTCGCCGAATCTTTCGCCGTGAGCCGTCATGCCTGCTGTATCGGTACAACTGGCATACATTGAGTCATATACATTGAGCAGAGTTTCTTTGCTTGGCTCTAACAGAAGTGCTCCGGCCAACACGACATGAAGGGATTTGCAAATAACACCATTACCTGCAATCGTCCCTCACAGCACCGGCTTTCTCGGGTCTTGCAAGTCGCAGTGCTAATCATCTGCCGGGTTCATTCTGACCGAGGCATTAAAATTACATGTGCCTATATTTCACCGACACCAGTGGAAAAGGTCCATTGATGTAGGGTGCCACCGCACGGTGGGTTCCAGAGCTAAAAGCGAAGACAATATGAAAATCAAAAGACGTCATGTAAAATAAATATAAATGCATACCGGGGAATCGCATCATGATGGAACAGACAGCCGGGTCATCAGATTCGTGGATTTCGTGGATTGGGAGGCGTGAATCATAAATCAGGAGACAAGCTCCAGTGGTAGCCAAGTAAAAAGTAGAGTTCATATGCCAATAACGCCATGCTTGTTCCTGTCAAGCTCGATCATCCCGAATTCAAAATCGCCGCGTGGCGAACGTCCAAATCTCTAGTCAATAGTCCTCTCCGAATACATAACCAAAAGAGAAACTAATTCCTCCCATAGACTCATGGTTCAACCATGATTGGAATCAAAGTAAGCATATAGAACGCTGTGCTAGTTGTGCAAAGTTGTAAAGTCATTTCATTGAGTCCGTGAGGACAATATCGGTTTATGATTTGCAGTTTTTTGTGGCGATGCGCGAGGGTGGGCGCTAAAAAGTTTAAATGTCGATGTCTCCGGGCTGTCGTTGGAGTTTTCTCAGGTTTGAGAGGCTTCTTGGCAAGATTGCCCCGGAGGTTTGCAGTTAATTGAACGATTTCTCTCGTGGCTACTGAAGCGCAAAGGATTAGAGGAGTGAGTATGGTGGGAAAAGGACTGTCCCTCGGCCGTCTGAAAAGGAAATAGGGTAGATGAAGGGGATGACGACAAATAGGTGCCATAGGCGAAAAGCGGCGTTTCATAGACCGGGATGTAGAAGAAGATGGTACTATTTGAAGCGAATAGGGTAGTTTGGCGTGTCTCAATGCCTCCGACGGGCAGCTTGGTCCAGGCGTTGGTCAAGACCTTCTATGCGGCCACGGTATGCTTTCACAATTTCTCTTATGTGACCGATCTTGGCAAGCTCGGTTTCCAGCTCATCTATGGAGGCCAGAATGGAACGTGTGCGGGCGATTTCAGCATCGGCATTGCGTACAACATTTCCAGCACGATCGTAGCTGTTCTGAATTGATAGCTGCATTTGTTCCTCGAGCTATTGCAAATTAGCAACCGAGATGTTTGAGAGCTATTAGGATATATGCGCGCATGTGTAGCACGTAACGTCTTCCACCACCTGCAGATTGTATTCAGGCGGCAGGAAAGCGAGTGCAAACTGGTCACCCGAGGGGAAGGAGAGATGCTCAAACATGCATGATTGCACAGTGTAGGGGTTGTCAAACATACATAGTCAATGCGACTCCGAATTTGTTGCTGTAAGGCATCCAGCTGCTGCGAAAGCGCTCGTAAACTCAAAGGGTCCAGAAGCAAACGACCCTGACTGCTGGCGGCACTGGCGGCGCGCGAACTGGAATTGCTGGTGCGTCCGGTCCCCCTGCCTCTGGAAATGCCATTGGCGCCATGGCTGCCTTGAAGTGCAATTTGTTGTTGCTGTCTTAGGATCTGGATCTCGGAGGAGGTAAGGCCAAGCGAAGTGTCGGGAATCGATGCTGATACGGACATTTGGTCCCGGCAGAGACATGCTCCTACCGCGACAATGTTTTAGGAAGCGCCAGTTGATCTCGTAGTGTGAATATAGAACGGACCGCAGTTCATGATGAGAACCGGAGTAGGTAAGGGAAAAGACCACGAAGGAGCGTAGTGGCTGAAGCTTAGAGAACGGTGCGGCTGCGAAACGAGGTAGTGGGTAGGCGCGGCGAGGGAAATCACCTGCTGGGTAGAGGGAATTTGGCCGAGAGCAGGTCAATGGTGGTGAAGTATGCCTCTGCCCCAGGGCGGCCTAATTGCTCCTTGAGCGTCCTACGGTGTCATTGGAGGCCACCGAAGGGAGCTGGGTAGGGGAAGAGATCAGCCTACTAATATGTAGGCGGCAAAGAAAAAGGAACGAAGAATAGCGGCCCTCGTGAGTCGGTCGGGGGGTTACACTGGGAGGAGACCGACGGCGAACTGGGTCTGATCTCCACGAAGTCAAGGCTAACGCAAGTTCTTTCAAGGGAAGGGGAAAGGGATTAGCCCCAAGTGACCAATTTGTGTAGGGCGACAGAAGGGAAGAGGATGATGAAGAGTGTCGGTGATCGTGGTGGTCGCCGGCGTCCAGGCAGAGTAAGGAGGGGTGAGGGGAGAGCGCGACAGAACGGATGGCAGCAACCGACGTGCACGCAAATTGTTACAATCAATGCGTATAAAGAAGGAGACAAGGCCAGGCTTGATGCTTCAAAAAGGTCGATCGAGTGGCTATCCTTGCCTTCATTTAGGTTCCGTTCTTCAGGAGAGGACCGTGTGATTAAGGCTGAAAACAGGATGCGATCCGGCCGCCGGTGGTATAACCGTCTAGGAGTATAGGAACGGACAGCTGCTTGTTAGCAGACTTGGGGGAGTACGAGGAGAGAGAGTTCTCTGGGACGACACAACGATTTACAACGGTAAGATTCTTTTTCGGTTAGGAGACAGAAGCTCTGGATCTAGCCAGAGTCGTCCTCCCTTGGTAGTAAACGAAGCAGTAAAGCAAAACTTGGAATGCGATTGCGAAGGCTGCTCATTCATTATTGTGAGAATGAGAGATGAAGCCCGCCCGCCGCTCCGGAGGCTTCCCAATTGGGCAACCGTCATGTCGCCCGCCCGCAATTTCCATCGGTTCGTTCCTTCAACCTTGAACGCTCCTCTACTCCGTACTCCGTACTTCTACTTCTCTAGCTTCTTACTTCTTCATAATCATCTTTTGCTGTCACCGTCTGCTGCTCTTCTGCATACAATCCAATTTCCATTAATTTCTCTCCCACCTTAATCTCTAGCCGCCTCGAATCCGTTCACCTACCGACCCTGATCTGCCGTTCAACCCTCTCTCTCACCAACCAAGGCGCCCAGATTGCCGCACCCTGCGCTTCTCCAGCCGCCATCAACCTCACTACCTTGCGACCTCCCTTCAAATCGAACGGGCCATCTTCAACCCACTCGCTTACTCAATCTAAATTCAACAGCCATCGCACGCTGCCCAACCTGTGAGGCTAGAACGGTGCGCCCGCGCGACGTTCATTGGTCTTAGCCAAGATTCCGCAGCTACATCTGCGGCTTCGCGAATCCGCTACTCCCGTGGTTAGGCTTGCTCATGCAGCCTTTTTTTTGTCATCAGCCTGTGAGCAATCTTCAATCCCCCCCCCCTCTTTTTTCTATGCCATTCTGGGCTGCTGCAGGAAGCTCTTGCTCTTTCTGCTCTTTCCCTTCTGGCCACGCACATTCCGGAGTTTGTCATACATACACACATATGCATACGTTCTCTTATGCTCCCCCGGCCCAGCCCGCGCCTTTCCCCCCTCTACTGCCAGCGCAGGATTATCGGCGACCTGTATCGTTGTGACAATGGCTAATTGATTATGTATCCTGCTCAATAGACTGAGCGAATCCGAGTTCACCCCACGTCTAGCCAGCTGCACACAGACTCAAGCCCCCCCCCAACTCGAGACTTGAGTTCAAGTCGAGTCAGTGCCTGCATACTATCAGCGGAATTCAGGCTCATCTTCGCAGATCTAATAATCAGAAAAAAAAATCACAATGCCGAAAGATAAAGAGCGCACCATGAACCCTGCCGCGGCGCAGCGGAAACTAGATAAGCAGAAGAGCCTGAAGAAGGGCAAGGCCGAAGCGTTGGCCCGCCGGAATGAGAAACTAGCCCGTCGCAACCCGGAGCGCATCCAGCGCCAGATTGATGAGATCAAGTCCATAGAGGCATCGGGACAAAAGCTGCGGCCACGTGATCAACAGTTGCTCGAAGCCCTCGAACGAGATCATCGCGCGGTGCTCAAGGCTCGAGAAGCACTGGGAGATAAGGCTCCCAAATTTGCGAGCTTCGGGTCTAGAAGCGGCGGAGACCGCGACGGTGACGATGGAAGCGTTTTAGGGAAGCGCAGGAGGGATGGTGGTGGTGGTGGCGGCGCCGGGCGCTTTGGACGGCATGATCGGGATAGTGAGAGTAGCGACGAGACAGATGAGGAGGTGCGAAGGATACCCATGCCTCGGGATACACCCCCGCCGATTCCGCGCCAGTTCCAGAGAAGACCAGGCGGCGACCAGGCCCAGGGTACACGAGGACCACATGCTCTTCCTGCAAAACCCCCCGTTGTCGAAGCTAAGGCAGTCTATGAGGCTAAGCCGCAGATCAGAGACCTGCGACAGGAGGCCATCAACAAATTCATTCCCGCTGCCGTCAGAGCTAAGCAGGATTCTATACGAGGGCAGGGTAAGCTCTTGGAGCCGGAAGAGATGGACCGGCTAGAGCAAGCAGGTTACAAGGCAGAAATGGGCCCAGCAGGGGTAGCAAAGGCAGCAGAGGCCGTAGGTCAACCAGAAACGACAGACGACGACGCCCAAAGGCGAATGCTTGAAGAGGAGGAAAGGAGGTTCAACCAGGAGCTTCGATCTGTTCAAATCGAAGAAGTTGAAGATGAGGAGGCATAGATCCTAATGAATCAAGATTAATGAATATCCAGGACTATTATTTCGGGGCCAAAGGGGATTAACTATACGGAGGAGGGGATGGGAAGAGGACTGTTGATCAGTCAGCGCCTTATCCATGTACCCGTATTTCGCTCTCTCTCTCTTTTCCTTTACCAAAAGTCGTAACTCTAGTTCTTGGGGTTCGTACGTTGAAGGATACTGGAACCGTAGATCACAGATTTATTGATCATCCAATCTAGTGCAGGACCGTGTGAACGAGAAACAGAATGTGTGTGTATGTATGTACAACTCCCTTTGAGAGCAAATTTCCGAAAGTACCACAGAGCCCAAGGATCACCAGATCAACACCAACCGTAGAGCACCACAAATGCATAGAGGAAAGAGATAGGAAATGTACAGGTATCAAACGAGTGTACTGACTTTTCGGGATGTGCATCGCAGAGAAGTCGAAAGGGGGAAATCGAGGGGGATGGGGCAATGTCATGGCATGGAGAATGTAACCAGAAACCACCAGACGAGCTGGATATGGACAGATGCAGTCACTATCTGTACAGTGTGCAATGTGAGTGGGGGGAAAGAGACAAAGATTTGGGGGGAGGGGAAAGGGGACATTTTGAGGGGATTGAGGGACTTCGTCACGGCATTAGAAACAAAGGAAAGTAGAGGGTGTTGCGTCTTCATATGACGATCAAGCTTTGAAAGTCAAGATGCAGCGCACCAAAAAATGCATCATCGAAGCTTTCACCATGTCTCGCACGGTCAAACTCCGGTTCGAGAATATTCAATCCACCCAAGCCGTATAACTCCGAAGTATGTCTTGAATTATTAAATGGTATATTGACGATGAGGCGTCAACAGTAGATACCCAAAAAGGCGTGTATGTCATAAGAGTAACCGGGTCAACCGGCGGAACTGAAAGACAAGATTGCTGACACTCAATGCGTATGGGCCGTGTCAAGGCATGGCGTTATCCTTGTGCGATAGTAGCTACCTCAAATTGCGAATGATTTTTCTTCCCCGGACCAAGAATGGGCTGGGCATCTCGTCTTTTTCGGGATCCCACACGGCCGGGGGGTCTCGCGCACTGGATTTCAAGCCCCGGGAGTCGCTGGCACATCGCTTGATCTCATCAACGGGACGGCCACCCGCGCGCGCCTGCGCCAGTTCAACCAACGTCCTTCCCCCCATGTTGCGCTGCATCACGGCCTTGTACATGTCCTCACCGCCGTTGTTGGTTTTGGAGGGCAGTTGCTTGACGCCAGACTTGCGTGTGGGTGAGCCAGCATCGGCAGCCAGATTCGCTGAAGATGGGATTTTGGACAAACGCCGATGAGGTGACCGGGGCTTGCTCTCTCTAGGAAGCATGTCAGAGAGGCCACCTGACACCTGTGGTAGTCTGGAAGCGTTGGTGGGGAAGATAGGCGGTTGAGTGCTTAGCTTCTGCATGAATGCAGCCGTGTTTTGTCGCAGGAGTGGTCGTGAAGGGGCTTTGAACGGGTCTGGCTTGACCTTGGGGCGAGTTGGGGAGGGCAGATCGGGAATATCGTCCTCATCATCGGAGTACGCTAAGGTGGGTTCCCACTTCGCTCGCTGTCTGTCGGCTTCGGCGAAAATGTTCTTGCCGGAGTGTGTTCCAGATGTGCGACGGGGAGACAAGGAAAGCGATGCAATTGAGATGGGTGAGGGCTCGGCCATTTGGACATCCATTGGTGACTCGACCACGGTCTTCGATCGAGTCAATGGGGTGCGTGTTTCCTTCCGCGGGGCCTTGCTAGGAGCGGGAGATTCGAGCGACAATTGGGTGATATCGGCGCTCGGTGGGTTACTGGCATCCTCATTGCTGCTGGATGGCTGGGATTGTTGGCTGTTTGACCGGGAATTGCTATCCTCCTTGAAAGCACCGCTCTTCTTTTGCTTCTCGATCTCTAGTGCAACCCTTTCCTGAACCTCGAAGTCGAATCGCTTTCGGAGTTTTTCCAGTTCATTCTGCACCTGACGGTCGATCTCTAGCCGAGCCTTGACTTCCCACTCTCGTCTGACGGTATTTTCCAACTCAGCCTTCATCTGTTGCTTTTCTCTGTCCAATTTAGTGTATGCTTGTTCCACCTCTCTAGCCTTCTGAGCGGCAGTCTCTTCACGCTTTCGCAAAGTCTTTTCAAGGTCGGCAACTTCCTTCTCTCTCCGCATCAGGCGGATGATGGGAAGGTTGATCAGCGCTGCAGTATCGGGGCGATGGTCCGGGTTGACGCGCAAGCAGCTTGCAATAACATTTTTCAGCTCGGGTGAGTAGAAATCAGGCAGGGGAGCAAATTTGCCCTCGCGTATTCTCTGAATGAGTTGGATGTGGGTTCTGGCGTTGAAAGGCGGCTCTTTCTGGCACAGCTCATACATGATGCAGCCGACAGCCCAGATATCAGATCGCAATGTGTAGGGTTCCGCCGCACAGATTTCGGGTGACATGTAGAATGGGGTACCGACGTAGGTAGATGCGAAGTCTTGAGAGTTCATCAGCTTCGAGAGACCGAAGTCACCGAGCTTGACAGTGTTGTCGCTGCCAAGAAAGATGTTTTCTGGTTTGAGATCGCGATGAAGGATGGTCATCTGAGCCTGCTTCCCTTTGAGACCAGACTGCTTAGGAGCAGGGCCTAGAATACTTCCAGCTTCGAGAGGATCAGAACCGTAGTGGCAGCGGTACAACGCCGTCGCCAATTGGGACAAAATGCGCCACACGAATTCTTCCTCTGCAAATTTGTTCGTCTTTTTCAGGTTCTTGATGATCATGCTGAGATCCCCACCACCACAGTATTCCATGTAAAGGTAAAGGTCCTGGCTCGCTTTGAGGTGTTCGCGATGGTAGTAGGCGACGATGTTCGGGTGTCGAAGAGAGCTTAAAATATTGAATTCGGCTGTCAGCTGTTCTCGTTCCTTTTGCGACATCTTGATGTAGTTGATTTCCTTGCGACAGAGTATCTACAACAAAGGTGATTGTAAGCTTAAAAGGGTCCAATGCATGAATGACGGCGGGATCCTTACAAAGCCGTCTGCCTTTCGTCGCACTTTGCGAATGATTCCAAAGGAACCGCAACCTAAGCATTCGTGATCAGTAAGTTGATGTCCGAAGCTAACTTGCATGCCTAGATGGAACCCTGGTGTCTCATACCAATCTTTTCAAGCACCTCATACTTGTCTGCCTCCGCTAACGCAATTGCCATTGTGGCTGCTGGGAGGAAAGACCGCAGGCAAGAATCTGAAGTATAAGGCGAAGGTCGGGAAGAAGTGGCGAGCGGATGAAATCGAGTAGCCTATGGCATTTATGAGTCGATAGCGTGTGACTGAGACCTGCTGGGTTAGTATGGAGCGATGTTGGGTGGGAACATGTGGTTGCGTTGTAGATTTAAAGAAGTAGGTATGCAACGGGGACGGAAGTGCTGAATGTTTAGGTGCAGACTGTTGCTGAGCAACGGCTGCGGGCCACGACTCTTGCCTGGTTACAGCAGGCGGTGGGGATACCGGGCGGTGAAGCGGGTCATTGATCATCATCATCGTTCCGTCAGTGGTTTGGGACGTCAGAAACGGCTCACAATGCTGCATGGGACAAGATAAACATCGAAAGCTTGCTCGCTTGAACCTGCAAGACACCCTATGGTAAGTGGGGTTATCAACAAGATCAAGCGTACTGAGTAGAGGGAGAATCAGAAAGATGCAAGGGGACAAGGAAGTTCTTTCAATCCCCTTGGTCCCCTTTGGGCAGGGGCTGTCTCGCTCAGGGAGGCTCTTTTCTCACGTGACCCGAGCTTATCGATAAGACGGGGGATCCAAATGTTGCCCCCGTTTGGGGTCGTCTCCCCCGCCGTCCTCCGCAACAAATACCTGCATATCTTGAAGAAGAATTGCTTGCATCTCATCTACCCCGCCAATCTCCTACCCTGGCACAATGGATGAACCGAAGGTCCTCCGGAAGGACCAGCTGGAGATAAGTTTGCACAATGAGAAAAAGCTTATCAAGGAGGGGACAATCAAGGACGACAACCCTCTTGACCTTAGCGAACCCTTCCGGGAGCTCTGCAATGCTTGTCGTAAGGGGGATTTGAAAGTTTGTCAGGAGAAAATCACGGAAGGAGTCAATATCAATGCCCGCGATCCATACGATTACACCCCTTTGATCCTGGTAAGTCTGCCTTGAATGACCATCAGGCCATTAGCCAGGTTCGGCGTGGCGAGTCGGCGTTGCCGTGCAGCAGTAACCAGTATCCGTGCAAAAGGCAAGTCTCTGTGGCCACTACGAGGTCGCTCAGCTGCTGCTCGAGTCCGGAGCTTTATGCGAACGGGACACTTTCCAGGGAGAAAGGTATGCACCTTGTCATTTGTGTCACTTTCGATGTCCAGTATTTATTAGTCAGCCCACGATGTTAACTCCAGTATGGTAGATGTTTGTATAACGCCCTCAATGATCGGATACGGAACCTGCTCCTGGAATACGACTATTCGAAGTCGACAGATCCTCTGCAGCCTCTTGCAGCTCACATCACGTCACTTCTTACTCGCGAAAGCCCTGCGACAGCGGATATTGTTGTAACAGCAGGCGATGAGTCCCTCCATTTACACAAGTTTATCTTGGCCGCACGATCTCCCTATTTCCGCAACAAATTGGCCACTGCCCCGGACACGTTGACATGGAGGCTCCCTAGCACAATGCCTCCAGAAGCATTCGGGACAGCGATTAAATACCTCTATTTTGGCGAAGCCCCGCGCGACATCCGGAGTGGCCCGGGGACCGGGTTCACCGAGTCCGAGGTCTTTTCCAACATCGATAAGATTGCCAAGCATTTGGAAATCAATACGCTTTTGGATAGTATATTGGACAGCGGAGATAGAAGGCTCGCTCGACAAAGACGGACGCTTGAGGTGGCCAAAGGGCGAGACCAACTGGAGGAGTGGTTCCGGGCGAATGTACTCCAGCACAAGGTGACTGTGGAAATCTCACGAGCGGATGAAGTCAAATGGGACAGAGACAACATCCTATTTGCGGACGTCTTGCTCCGCGCAGACGAGGACCTTGATGATGTGGACGAGCATATTGGCACCAACGGTCATTCTACCACTTCGCGCGTCCAGAAGAGCACGCTATTCCCCTGCCACCGGGCCATGCTCCTACGCTCTGAGTTCTTCCACACCATGTTTACCTCCCCCTTTCGCGAGGCGCACATGAAGGACCATCTCAACATTATCCCGGTCGATTGCTCCCCGGACGTCCTCGAGATTGTGCTCACCTTTCTCTACACGGAGCGCGCAGACTTTCCGCTCGACATCGCCGTCGACGTTCTGTTCGCCGCGGATATGCTCTTCATCGAGAAGCTGAAGACGAAGGCCGCTGTTGTAATCAGCACCCTGGGCAGCGGCAACATGTCGCAGGCCGAGGCCGCCCGCACGCGCGGCACTATGGAAGAGGACGACCTCGACATCTACGCCATTATCCGCGCCGCCTGGCTGACGCGCGTCCAGCGCCTCGAAGAGTTCGCCGCCCGTTACCTCGCCTACCGGCTGGAAGCTCATATCGACTCCCCCGAGTTCTCGGAGTTGATTCAGGAGTCTGCTGCCCGCATTCAAGGTCGTCAGGAGACCGACTCCATTGAGCTGCTCGACGACATCCGGTTCTATCTCGGCGAGCGCTTCCGGCTCCGCTTCGACGACGCCGGCATTGACGAGATGATGGAGGAAGAAGCGCGACAGCAATCCGTCGCACAAGCTCAGAATACCACCACGGAGACAGAGGGTGATGAAGAGAATGGTATCGTTGTAGACAAGGTTGTCGAGGGGATGGAGGCACTGGACCTCTCTAGCACCAGGAACGGAACTCCACACCCAACCCCAGCCATGGATAAAGACACGGATCAAGAACAACAACCCGTCATCCGTACGCTGGACGGTGAGGTCGTTGTGGACGAATTCGATCAGGATGCGCTCAACTATCAGATTCTCATGGACAAGCTTGATAGAATCTTGGAGGCTCTGGACCTTGATGCTTGAGTTGACAAGACCGTTTTGTTTCTCGCAATTCCTTCCGGGTATGCGGGATGATGATTGATGACTACTGAATTACATATATACACCGGGAACTGCTACCTATATACATGAACAGCTCGGGGGATTCGCCTTTGCATAGTAAGGTAGGTCAACTCTATACAAGGAGATAGATTGGTAGAAATCATACAGCGATAGAAAGAAGCACTTCCTTTGGTATTGAACTGTGACCACTACAATCTTGAGGATAAATGCTACGGGACCCAGGAGCCCCCCCAAATGTGAAATCTATACATGCCTGGAGTGAAGGCTTAGAAATCGGTTTACACCGTAAACCTTCTGCACCCAATCCACTCCATTAAGGCGTTTCGCCCCCAAGAAAAAAGTGAAGTACGTAGGAGCATGACTATAGTTAGACGACAATAGCTCGCTAACCTACAGTACAATACATCGTCCATCACAAGAACCAGCCACAACCACAACCACAGCCCATCCTCCATCCCGCGGCCAAGCAAAACACATGCAAAACCACGCACAACCCATCCATGATAATTCCGTCCCATCCCCGATCTCTCTCTCTCTCTCTCTGGCCCTAGAAAACATAACTTATGACATACGACCCATGACATAGGACCACTCCCCATAGGGGATAGCCGAAACCAACCCAACCGTTCTCAAATCATAAGATCCCCCAACAATGGCGACAAGACTCCCTCCCCTGACCGCTGACCGCCCTCCCAGACAGACACCACAACATCGCATCCCATCCCAACCCTCAATAAGAATCCTTTGTCCAAAGCGAAATGGCACGGTAAGCAAGCCCCAGGGATAAGGATCCCACAGCCACAGCCACCAAAGACAACGAAACAAAACAAAACAAAAAAGAAAAGAATAAGCCCTCCCCCCCCCAAAAAACATACAGTACAGTACAGTACAAGGCGCAATGTACATCCCGCCTACCTCAGGCCACCTCCACTTTCCTGCTTAGCCGAATATTGACTTTCGATGTCTCCGACTAAGGTTTGCGGGTACGGTTACGTCCGACTCGGATGGAAGGAAGAAAAGAAAAACGTCTGACCACGGAGGGTGCTTACCGGGACGGTGATGATGGCTGATGGCTAATGGGGGAGGGAGGGAGGGAGATGTGAGATGTGACTGTGGGTGACGGAGTTGCGTCCCGAGCCGCCGCCGAGGAGGCTGGGTGCTCTTTGTTTGGGACAGTGCTCTGTACATGTAATAAGGATTAGGAGTCATAAGGTGGGCGGTTACAACGGTTCTGGGACTGCCCATCGGGTTCCATTGAGCTCATGGAGGGCAGGCAGGGTAGAGCGGTTTGCTCGGGAGGAGAAGAGGAGGGGAGCTGAGGTCAATGCCTGAGTTAACTTTGGGTTATGAGAGAAAAAGTGACAACTCACAACAAAGAGGGGGTCTCATCCCTACTAGTAATCCCATAGGTATACACTGCGCTTGATTCCGGCGTCAACTCTCTTTATTCCTCTTAGAGACTTCCGTTAAGTTACCGGACGTCCAGTTGCATACACCCTCTACGGCAGACAAAAAGTCATCTTTGAGATCTTCATGATATTGAATATTGATATCTTTTGTTCACAAGGTGGTCATGTCACATCATTGGATACAAAGGAAATGAGACGACACAAGGAAAAACATAACACAACAAAATAAACCCATCAAAAACAAATAAGAAAAGAGAAACTAGAGTCATGGGACTCCAGCTTCTGTTCACCATATTCGTTCCCTGCAACAACCTCTAGCTGTCACGGAACAACGACTATGGTGTGTTTCTCCCCAAACCCGTCATCCACAAGCGATGCCTGCTCCTTTCGCATGATAATAAACAAGAATGGTGTTGGGCGGGGTGATGAGGTCCAAAAAAAAATCAATCAAATATACACAGGGTGAGAAAGAGAAGAAAAATATGTATGGAGACCTCTTTTTGGTGATACACCGTAGCTCCCCGCCCTCCTAAGCTTTTTGCACAAAAAACAGAGATTTTTGTTCGACGCAAAGAAGCAGAAAGAAGATAAAATGGTATATATGAACATGCAAAGCAGAAGGGTATCATCAGAAGAAGCAATGCAGAGCAAAAGAAGTGTCGCTGGGAGTCATGGGTGTTTGGGGGAAATCCTGGAGAGAAGAAACAATTTCCTCTCTCATGGCTTTTGTGCCTTTTCTCGGTTTACCGGTGAATGGTATGTTTATACCATGGCGGTGGCAACGGGCCGGCCGGTATGACAGCCACGTTCGTGGCGCTTCATGTTGCTCCGCACGCTGAAGGCTTTACCACAACCCGCGTGGGTGCAGCGGAAGGGCTTCTCTCCGGTGTGGCTGTGGGAGTGGATGCGGAGACTGGAAGGTCTCGAGAAGGCCTTGTGGCACGTTCTGCAGATGTATCGGTCGTGGTTCTGCTGGTAGGGGGTCGTGCTGGAGGGAGGGAAGTAGTGGTGATGCTGCCAGGCCGGGGTGACAGGGGAGATCATCTGTTGGTGTGCGGCGGTTGGCAGAGGAGCAGTGGAGGGAGGCACGCTGCTGGACGGCTGGTAGGTGGACGATGAGGAGGTCGGTCTCTGGTAGTAGATGGCCGAGGAAGCCGAGGGCTCAATGGGAGAGGAGTAAGAAGCGACGCTCGGGGCGGGAGAGACGTAAGGCGCGGCGGAGACAGGAGCCACGGAGCCCTGGCTAGAGATGGAAGACCGATCCGATGGACTGGGGAGTCTCGCCGGCGCCTGGGTGTATGGCTCTGCGCGGTTCACGGCGGCACCGTCACTGACGGCGGAGATCGACGAGGTGGGAGAGTGGCTGACGCTGTTGAACCCAGAACCAGGACGCAATGGAGGCGTAGGTGGCAGGCCGATTTGGGGGCCATTGGCCTTCATCGCATCCAAGGGTTGCGAGGGAAGGCGGGTGTCCAGCTCGCGCTGAACTGGAGGAGTAACTCTTGCACGCTCTGCATTGCGACGGTCAGCACTGACCGAGTTGATGGTCCAAAATGGGCCGATTTAAAAATTATGGGGGGGTTGCCATACTAGCTGCATGCATGGAGGCACCATCTGCGCCTTCGAGTAGGGTCGAGATAGAAGGGAGAGAGCATTTGGGGGGCATTTCCTCGACCGGCGGGGAAGGAGGGGCGCGGGAGTAAGAGACCGGCACGGAAGCGAAGTATGAGTCCGGTGCGCGCTTATACAAAGCCACGCGAGGCGCAGGGGGGCTGTAAGAGGCTCTTGACATCCTCATTGCGAGGGGATCTGGTCCCGGTTGAGTGATAAGGCTGGCGAGATCCATGATGGGCGACGGTGAGGATCGTTGTACTAGATGAGAGTAGTTGGTGGTGGTGGTGGTGGTGGTAGTGGTAGTGGTGGACAACTGTTGGTCTTGGTGAAGTTCAAGGCTGGAACGGGAAGGAGGAGAAAAGGTAAGTGGTTATTTCTCTTGAGCTTCAAGAAAAGGCGGCTACCCAGAGTTCATATATGAAGAAGCCTGGGGGGAACTGATGGAACGGGGTATAAGAGATCCAATCTAAGAAACAATCCAGGCACGGTAGTCGAGACAGGGTGGGGGTGGATATGAGAACCAGGAGGAGGAACTGGTTTATAGACCCAGAGCGATGGTGGAGATGCAGGGTTGACAATCATGGAATTATTTTCGAGAAAAAAAAATTGATTTTGTTTTTTGTTTTTCTTTTGGCTTTTTTTTTCTTTTTTTTTCTTTTCTTTTTTATCGGGGAGGAAAGGATGGAGATGGGGGGGAGGAGGAGGGGGAGATGGGGAGGTGGAGGGAAGTGGAGGGAAAGTGGAGGGGATGTGGGAGGAAAGGTGGACTTCCATCCTAGTCAAGAATGAAAAAAATAATACTAGGTATTTTATTAAAAACTGCACATCAATCAAATGTTAATTATAGCGCTGGTAAACTCCGGCCGTAGCGTTAGACGACGAGTGGAACCACAAAGAGAGTTAGAAAGGAAGAGAGCGAGCGAGAGAGAGAGAAAGACAGTGTGTGCGTTGAAGATGGAGCCGAGAAACTGAAAAGAAGGAGAAAAGCGGGAGAGGCCGCCGCCGCGAACCTCCCCTATTTGGATTTATTCATTGAAAATAATGCAACTCAACTGAAAGGATAGAGAAACAAATAATAAAATAGCAAAAAATTTGTGCCTGGCCAGGGACAGAACACTCAGTCCTACACACATACGCGCGCACACACACACACACAATCATGTAACTACATAGACTACCGACACAAAGTATAATTTACTATAGGCTACATTCCTTATTTTCCCGCGCTTCGCTGCTGCTGCTGCTGCTGCTGCTAATGCTGCTTACAACCACTTAACTGTAACAGTACGTACATCAATTTCCCCCCGAAAGCCCGCAGTGGCCACTGACTAACTACCTAGTACTCTAGCCACAAGGAAAATCCATCGTCGGTCATCCTCGATTCGCTTCGACAAGGGCTGATACCACCGTCTCAAAGCTTAATTAATGACCACTGACCCGGTACGGAGTACACGCGATGACTTGCGCTGATGGTTCTCCGGTCCCTTCGTTTAATTATTTTGGCCGCGTCTGATTCGATAAGCGACGTAATAAATTCCGAGGGGAAAAATCGCCCTTCATTTATGATTGTCTTTGCTGGGACCGGTACCGTAACGCATGTGTTGTCCCCACGCCTATACTGGAGTCCCCTCCTCTCCCCTCCTCCTCCTCCTCCTCCTCCTTCGCATGCCGTACAGTAGCTAGCTATGAGACTAAAAAGGATGATTTGCCATTAGCTTATCGTTTTGGGTAGGCTCGACGAGAGCTAAAAAAACGTGCGCCTCCTCCGCCTATCCACACCCGCACGATGGGCAGCCGTATGTACTGTACCCTGGGTCAAATTGACGGTTTACCAAAGATCAGGAAAGACTAAAAAAGACCAGAACATTGGAAGACAGCGACAGCACTACTACTGTCGGAAGAAGCCTCTTCCATTGCTCGCTGAATCAGAGAAACCCTGGACCTGAGACCCATGACATCAATTGAAGCAAGATGAAAAAGGATTCAACGTCGGAGACATTTCTACCTGTTATTCTTCCGTTCAACTATAAGCTAGTGGGATGTCTGTATGAAAGTGGGAAACACCTCCGTTCGTCGACGGAGCAATATAGAGAGTAAAATAATAATAATACGGGGGAAATAAGAAAAAGGGAAAATAAATTGCCCAGCCAGCGCTCCTCTGAAAAGACCAAGCAGGCGTACGTAACTGCGTCGTACGGAGGCCGACAGATCGGCCGATGGAAAACCAACGGTACTTTCGGGGCTCGGCTACAGTAAGTCTGGCGCTAGTGCAGATCCACGGACACCTTTCCTTCTCCATCATGCGCCCGCCAGGAATCAATCATCGATCATCATCCATCATGGGGAGAGTGGGAGAGTGAGAGAAGAGAAGGAAGGGAGGGGGGGGGGGGACGAGCCGGCGCCCTCCTAACTCCCCTCCCCCATGGATCCCATGCCTATTACCCACCGGGTATTATCGCGGTAATGGCCAGATTCGACAGAAAGGGCCCCTCTTACCAGCCGATCGTTTGGAGGATTCATAATAATCATCATTATAATAAAAAATGAAAAAAGACCCAAGGAGACGAGAGAGAAAAGGGCTAGCCTCCGTCCAGGTTTTACCTGTCACAACGATCCCATGCCCCATAAACGGCTGATCGTTGCCGCACGATCACACACATCGCTTGAGAACCTGATCTCATCTTCCAAGACCAACTTCCCACCTTGAATTATGTACTATGTATCATCATCGCCTTCATCATCTTCATCGTCATTATTTGTCTGTAGATCGGTCGGTCCCTTTGTCTCTCGGAGGGGCCTGCGGTCGTAGATCAGTGGAGGAACATTTGCCGCCCGAGAAATGCCAACCCTTTCCAGGTACACAAACCCATCAATCAACCTCGAATACAGTCATGACTTCAACAGAGACGAGATATTGCTAGCTGCTGTAGTCGAATCACCAATCAGTTCGGGGAACACAGTGTGTCCTGGGTCCCATGCCAACCCTGGTTGATCTCGAGTTCGATCCGTTCTCTCTAGCTTCTAGCGGGAAACTGGTCCATTCCCCAGGAAAGATATCATTTCATCAGTGCAAAACTACGGGACCGACCTTCATTCACCCTTCATAAAAAAAAGAGGGGGGGGGGGGTTTGGGAGAACCTGCCACCACCCCAAAATAGGCGCATCTGCGCCGAAAGCAGGGCTGTAGATCGGAGGATGGATCTCAAGATGGGCAGAGATTATTGACCAAGGTGACTGAATCGACACAATTCTAAAAGGGTAATGAGTCCGTGATTTGCGTCCATCCACAAACCAAGCCCTTGGGGCCGGATGACGGAGTTGCGGCACGATGCGCAGATGGCAGGTCTTGGTTTGGGAGCGCTCCCCTAAGCCACAAACAGCTAGGCCAGGCTGCCTACAAGGGAATCTTGGGAAAATTTGGACGAATAATCGCCTGGTGCCGGTCTGCCACTCCTTTCCTTTCTGCGCCTGCTTTGGGGGCCAATTGGCCAAGGGATCATCCTAGTATGAGAGAGGCCTCCCGGAGATTATCGTGGCGTTGACAGCCAACGAGAGACATCAAGCAAACCTTAAAAACAGATGGAGCAAGAATTGGCGAAAGACCTGAAAGCTTCACTGGTACGGAGTACTCAGAAACCTGACCCAGGAGGTGGCTGACTAACTAAGCGTTAGGGTTAAATGTTCGTCCGTGTGATGGATGTACTTTGTTTGCTTATTTGCGACCGGTATATCGCTTGAATTTTGGGCACTGGGTGGCCTGTGCAGAGAAGTAAGTCAAGTTGACCTACCAACTGCAAGGCGAGGAACAGGCGGAATGCATGGATAGCTTATGCATAATGGGAGTGCATGTAATCCGTCCATGACTAAGACGTCTCTTCCTGTGGGCTTGATGGAAGTAACCTTGAAGACACAGACCAAAGCCCCTCCGTGATTGATCACCTCTGACTCGACTATACAAGTATTTTGCGTCTGATCAATGACGTCGACAACGAAACATGTCCAGTGCCCAGTTCTTCTAGCCGTACACCGTACACTGAATGTATGTAGGGAGTATCCGTCTCAAACTTTTTTGTTTCGCATGCGCGGCTAGTGTATGCCATCCATATCCAGGCCCGACCCGATTGTAAATGCCGATGAGGGGGGAATACGCTGTCAATCGCCTTTGGGATTAGGATCGACCGCGGTGGGATTTACTGGGTCGAACTCGTCGTCGACAGTACGAGTTCGAGCCAGAAGGCGACCGACAGCTGATGTAAACGCATAAACGCAGCTTTTCCGCGGTCAGAAGAGAAAGGTCCAAGCCCGAATAAGAATAGACAAGAACTGGCTTCGGGAGATCCCTTGGTTGATGACTGGGTTGCTTTAGTGGTCGGTACCTGCCTGTGCACGAGACAAAATACCTCGGCCGGCCATGGAATGCGAATCCGGAAAGGGTTACAGAGACGAGGTGGACACCACAAACTACCCGATGATCATCAGTGCAGCAGCAGCAGCGGTGCTGTAGCTGTAGTACAGTACGAGAGTTGCCCTTTTGGCTTTTTTTTTTGAGATCAGTCTGTCAGACGAATTCTCTCATGCTTGAGCATCTGACCTTTTGAAGTTTGTTCTTTTCAACCCCTGGTTCATACACGCAGATTCAGGCAAGCATGCGTGGCACGCCTTGTCTTCAAAGGGTTGCAATGATGCAGTGATGGGTCGGAAGAAGGAAGGAAGATCATCAGATAGTGGCGGGTCACACCGCCCCAGCCGATTACTGCATACGTACCTGAACGCGGCGGTCTCTGAGGGGCGAAGACCACACACAGCCTCAGGCCTTGTCTGTTGTTTGTCTGGCGTCTGGCGATCGAATGAGGTAATGATCCCGTCCGGGTAACTCATTGCCAAGCTCCTTGTTGGTAACAACCTGCATCACAATGGCACAGTCCATTCCATCCAAAGCAGGGGGATCCTCGACAAGTGATACTCAGTAGAACATGCCAACCATGCTAATCCATGCTAATCCATGCTAATCCATGCTAATCCATGCCAACCGTCGGCGACGCCGAATTACATCATCATTAATCAACCAATAAACTCCCAGGTGCCAGAGATGAACAGGTTCCTCGACAAGGCACATAGCGATGCTGCAAGATTACTGAGTACTCTCAAGGATGATCGTCTCCAATAGACGAACATATCCGGATCTATTCTCTATACGGACACCACGCTGCCGAGCTCGTGTGGTGATGTTGGTGATGTTGGTAGTGGTGGTGGTGGTGGTGGTGGTGGTGATGACGTTAAATGATGATGGTGTCCCTAATGCCACTGCTGCTGCTGCTGCTGAGGGGATTATTATTGTGGGACACTAAGAAGAATGGATTATGAGGCCCAGGTCGACGCGTCGAGGACCGCTCAATCTGCCCACCCAAGAGACCCAAGAGACCCATATCCATGTGCGAATTCCCCAGTGGTCCCAAACTTTAATAGACGAGGGAAGAAGAAGACGGCTCTCAGTACGGAGTAGCAGTCTAGCTAGTCTAGTGGAAGGCTGGTCTCGTGGAGTCGGCGAAGCGAAGCTCACCCGCCGGTTCACTCTGTGGAATCCGCAGCAATCCGCGGGCCCCGTCGGCTCCTGCGCGACGCATTGAAATCAGTGCAGTGCAAGAATTGCTATCACTCATAGAGCTTAGCCTCACTGTTCGTCTCCATTTTCTCCCATGTGCTTTCCAGCCTTATTCGATGGGCGAAAAATGGGCCTCCCATCGCCCTCCAGGCAGCTAGTTTCCGATCTTGAGTCCTCATTCCCCGTCCCACGGCCTCGGAGCCCCAGTGTCGTGCCCAATTTGACCTACGCATTCGGGGCACTTGAGCAAGCTGCAGAGCTATTGCGATGAAGAGGGAGGTGTGTTCCAACCACATGTTTCGTCCTGGACCACGAAAGTACTGACCACGCACGCACTCAGTCAGTCACTCACTGAATGCTCGGTCGTCGGCTCCCGGCCTCGGCTCACAGGCTTGATCCGCCCTAGAATGTCTTCGAGCGTGGGCGTTAACCCTCTTCTCTCTCCAGCCGATATAAACCCATGAAACATTTTCAAACGATGCCATCCCAGAATTGGCACCGCTTCCGTTCAAGTTAGATGAAGCTTTGGGGGCATATGTATTGTATAGAGTGTGGATGCACGAAACCTGGAATACTGAGAGGGAGACGATCAAACTCCAAACTAATTTGCATAGCATCGGCCGGCTCCGAGAGAGAGAGAGAGAGAGAGAGAGAATGCGAGAGCGATTCCAGAACAACGCTGGACGGCTTGGAGAGTGGGTGCGGGCAGAAGAGTCGTTCCGATTGCTAAACTCGGATACATACTATGTAATTTGTGCTCAATAGTTGCTTAGTTTAGTTTTCGTGTGCGAAGTATAACCAGCGACCATGCGGCTACACCCGGTCGTCACCTCCTTGAGGATGTGATCGATGACTTTCTACTGCTACCTACCTACTCGTCTCAGCCTCCGTATATGGATAGATGAACCCACGGGCGATTTGAACTCACCCCCAAGGGCCTAAGGGTAAGGTTACAGAAGATAGCCTTTACTTAAGCGCGTGGGACGTGTTAATCATCTGAGCTTAAACCCAAGCATCTCGGACCAAAAATAGGGGACCTACCTGATCTGGGATATCTCGACGAAACTGATGAACTGATGTTCTCCAGTCACTCAGCATGCAGCATCCGCCGCGAGGCTGTTCTCAAACCCAAAAAGAAAAAGGGGCAAGAAGGAGGGTTCGGCAGATTCCGCATAGCCCCAACCCGCGTCAAACATGCGGGACAATTTTTGGTGCCCAGGAAACTCTGAGTGAGCGGGTTGGTTGCCTGAAGTTTGTTAACAACTGCAGGCACACAGGAATCCCCTTCCGATTGATGCGTTTTAACGTGGAAACTGCTCTTTTGAGGCACTTTCCACGACACATGCTGTGCAAGCAACAGATGTTACTTTATTATTGCAGGCCTCCATTCCCTAAAGTTCCGACTGAAAAATAGGCTTACTCCCCTTCCCCCCTGCCGTGAAACGCGTATGTGCATAACAACTCGTCCCGCGTCAAGCTTGCCGGAGTCGCAAGTGACAGCCTCGGAAGAACAACTGAATCAGATGTGATGCATTCGGGGTGGGATGCTTGTTTCCGCGGGTGTGTTCTCTTTGCTATGTGGGTTTGCTTTCCAAACCAAACCCATAGTGCAGTTTGGCCCCTAGCGTTCGTTTCATTGTTTGTGAGTTTGTAAGGGATGATTCAGCCAGCGTGTCTTCGGCAATGGTAGTGTTTTCGGCCACCCGACGGAGATATCCCGAGATCAGCTTGATGGAGATTGACAATGATGCGCGCGCCGATCATCCCAACGCTCTCCAACGCTCCCAGCTTTGACCGCTCAGAGCGACAACCCAAGATTACATAGTCGCCGGGAATACTACTGCATGCTGCTTAGTGGCGGGTATCGATACTTGTGGCGCCCTCCCCTGACAACTAGTTGATTACCTTTCTTTAATAATAGTAACCATGATGGAATGATTCGCACTGGTCAATCGGGCCATCTTTGCCCGGAGAGACGGTTCATTCAACAATAGCCACGAGTCAGTATTGTTTAGCTTCTATCCCAGACATTCTGCTGCTGTACCAGTAGTGTCATACTCGGTACCATTATTCCACAACCATTGATTCCCTCCCGACCAGTGTCGCTTACAATAATAGCCGGCATCACTATAACCATGGCATCCGGAACTCAAGTTGAGTGCTTTGGAAGTTTACTTGATAGCCAAGAGCAAACCACCGACCAGCGACAGTGGTACCCATCAGCCACTGACGGAGTTTCCCTCGCCTGTTTCATTTATTCCGGGGCCCAGATCCATGATGTCCAGTTTCTAGCCCCGTCGCTGGAGAGCCTACGTATAGGAACCAAGGAGAGGCGGGCGGTAAGGTCGTCGATCAAACTCAAAGCGCAGAGGTTGGCGCCGGTTTCAGGATTTGCAACCCACGGGTGTCGGTAGTTAGGGGAGACTTCGCTTCGTTTCCAGCTTCGCTTACGGGAAGAGGGGAGGGGGAGGTCATTGGTGCCTGAAGCACTAGAAGTGAGGGACGAGCACAGTTCCAGTGACCCGGCATGGCGTCTAGCTTCTGCGTAGTACGTACTGTACCCATCATTCCTTGCACATTTCCATAGTACTCAGTGATCCTGTCGCACCAACACACAAATGTGCGACTGTTGTTAACTACTCCGTAGGAGGTGCCTTTTTGCTTTTTCAAGCATGTCCCCCCTCCGACCTCCGACTCTCGTATTCCTGCAACCTCACAGTCACAGCAGCCAGCTGATCTACGACCACCCGCAAGTGCCCTTCGTAGGGATCATGGATGCCATTCCGCATGCAGTGAGCAAAAATCATGCTCCAGGGCTTGGGGTGTGACGGCTTGAGCCGTCCCATTCCTTCCCTCCGTCCCTTGATCCTCCTACCGTATAATTTGCTCCAACTATACTCCGTAGATCGCAACCTCATTGCTCCAAACCGAGAGGTGGGAAAATAAAAAGTGAAATCTAGAAACCGAAAGTCTGACAGACCTGACAGATGTCACTGGAGAGTTTCGAGTGCGCTCGTGATCAATGGTCCGACAGCCTGTAATTGGAGGTATCGCCAACTGGAACAAACGATCTACCGATACTCTCAATCAGCCGGCAGGAATGACGGCTTTCAGCTTGTCTAGAACCAGCATCTCCCCCGAGCGCCACGTTGGCTAGTCAAGGCGTCGAGCGCAGATCGTCATCAGGAAACCCAGCTAGGGAGACGGTGGGGTTCGTGGGGAACGAACGGGACCAGCCAGGCAGCCAGGCAGCCAGGGGCGTGGTTGCTGGTTGCTGGTTGCTCGGGGCTCTATAGATGAGATCGCTGGAAGGGAAAGGTGGGAATGATACCTTGATTCTTAGACTTGACTTCTTTTCCGATGCTGTGCGATCAAGATGTGTTATCTTTGATGGTGGTCTGTGTACGAAAGTATATACAGTAGTAGCCTGTAAGGTATAGTCAAGTTACCTGTGGGATGGGAACAAGGGGTTGTGTGGGCGACGACGGCGGCGGCGGCGGGTATGAGACCCGGAAAGTCTCAGCCTGGTTCTGGTTTAGTCACGGCACACGCAGTTGCAAGTTGCCGCCCCGGCGCCCCCCTGACCTGACCTGACCTGACCTAAACGAGAAAGAAAAAATGCCGACCGGCCGATGAGAATCTCCCTTTTCTGTTTTTTTCTTTTTTTTTTTCTTTTTTTTTTTTAAGAACTGCTGGAGCGGGCGTTCGGTCGATCCAGCCCCAATGCAGACTAGAGGCGGTCCTAGCGGCCTTTCTGGAGTTCTGGACCCTAGTCATTTCACGTGGCAGACGTCGGCTCCGCCTGCAGCATCGGCCGGCCCTTCCCGAGTTTGGCACAAAAGCCGATGCACTATTGAAGACGCTTACCCTCTGACAAGCCTACAGTAGTGTGGTTACTAGCGGTATTATTGTTCGAGTCTCCAATTTCCACTCTCGCTCGCGCACGCACACACTGATTACTCGCAATTAACTTCTCCAAGCCTCCAACTTGTGGAAGGCCTCGTACTTGATAATCTATGAGTAGGTGAGGAGCTGTAAAGTAAGTAGCCTCAAAATCTCCCATTTCAGTTCCAATTAACCCATTGGATCTTACATCACGTCGTGCCTACGTACATGGATCCGTCAAAAGTAGTTACTTAGTAGATGTCTGTACTAAATTAGCAGAGTTTAACCCCCCAGCTCTTGCACATGTCTCCGAGTACGCCACATAAGTCAAATTAGGGCTGGGCGGCACCAACCCGTCACATTACTCCGGAATATTAAGTGTTTGTTATATGCATCTTCCCCTCCCCAGCCGGACGAAAAGGAGACGATCATCTATACATAGTAATCCTAACCTGCATCATAAACTAACTTCTGATTCGATAAGGTATTGGCCCTTGCCTTCTGATCACTTGATCTGCCATTGCTTGGTTTATGAATAAGCAACAAATTCTAGGGGATCAAGGTTAGGGTCAATGATGTAGGTGACATTTGATGACAGCCTGCAGGAAGGGCGGTGACAGGCCGGGCAAAAGAAGTGAACATGTGAATGAGGAGCTCTGGTTGCCGATGTTGTTGTGGATATCGCCTAACTCTGACTCTGACTGTTCCAGCTGGTGGAAATTAATCTATTTGCCCTGTTGTTCGGGCACTTGGACGGCGTTGTGGCTAATCCTGAGCCGAACCATGCTATGCCTAGTAGCCTAGCCGATGTCAAGAGTCGTTAACACTGTTCGAGCGAGAAAGGACCACACCTGGCCTAGAGGCTAGATGGGATCTGGAGCCAATCTCGCCCACCATGGTCGGGCGGCGGTCGATCCTCAACGACTATACTCCACGGATACGTACGTGATTGCTGCACTTCACCCGTCGAACGTGTGATGAGAACGTCATGGACCGACCTCCTTCGCTGCTCGTGCTACTGCATGGGCCCGCATGGTCGTGACTGACACTCCGAGGTACTCATCGTATGTAGGTACAGTGCTCTTACGGACTAGACGGCCGATGCATGGACACTGGGCTTACTGACGATACTATAGCGGCTACTATAGTACATTCGTCCTCTGTCTAACTCATCTCAATCTACAGTCTACGGAATCCTCACTTGGGCGAGGCAGAACCTCGGTATCTACTGTATACCGCACTATCGGGGCCAGACAGAACTTCCCGGAGATTGGGCGCCGGATCTCCACTTTGACCTGTGCGTGGTGGGGTCATCTTCCAGACTGCATCGAATCTGCTTGCATCTCCAGCTCGTTCGGATCCGGATGGAGTCGGTCGGCTCATGGACTTCCCACTCACTAAGATACAAGACTGACGTACCGGCTGTGCTGATCTTCCTCACAATCAGCTTGGAAATTTTACTCCATTGCCCCCCTCGCCCCCCCCCCCTCCTTCCCCATTTCCGCTCGGCTGTTCAGAGTCTGCCCTGGCAATTCGTACCGAGAAGCCAGGCGAGCAGCAGCACACGGTCATTCCATCTCGCTTCAACGCTCGATCTCATCTTGGGCTTAGTGCCAGTGGGTCAAGCGTAAGGACACACCACCACGAACTCCACAGAGCGGGGCAGCGGCACTCGAAGCAATATGCCTGAGACTCCACGAGGAGACTAGGAACATCCTTTCATTCTTCAAAGTTCCCATCTGGGCATGAATTGTTTGGGTAGATTCATATCTTGATGACATCGGTGGTTTTGATCTCCGATGATCATTGTCCCTCTCGGGGTCCGCCGAATTGTTTTAATCCTGGTAACTTGCATCCATCTGAGTCTGGGTACATTACAATTTGGAGATTGGGGGGGAACATGCCAGATCAAGCATAGTTCCCTTGCTTGCCCATTGTATCACCAATCGAGATTGCCATGTGCTTTGCGGAACCTCTATACCAGATGGGTACGTGGTACTAACCGCTTTCTTCCCCTCATCCCCGACTCAGGACTACCCTTTCTCCCCTCACCAGTTCCAGCAACCCACAGGTGCACTGTCTACATGAGATTATACGGGAACCAAGCAAACTCAGTTCTGACTATCATCAATGAACCATGGTGTGACAAGCCGTCGACCATGTGGCTGTCCGCCCGCCCGCCCGCCCGTTTATTGTTTGTTTGTTGCCCGTTGCCCGTTCGGAGATTGATTGATTCTGGACGAGGTATCATCAACATGGAACCGGTCCCGACCACCGACCGACCCCCGACCTGCTCTCTCTTTCCTCTCTCTTTTTCGCCATTCAGTGCTCCACGAGGG